GCCTCTTTCTGGTATTCATTAGGGATTAATAATTTTTAAAGTTTATTTTATTTCATTAGGGATTAATAATTTTTAGTTTCCACCACCACCACCACCACAGCTGTTGAGTCATTTCCAACTCATAGCAACCCCGTAGTGTTTCCAAGTTTGTAAATCTCTACCAAAGCAGACTGCCACATCTTTCTCCCACGGAGGCCATGGTGGTTTCGAACTGCCAATCTTTCAGTTAGCAGTCGATCACTTTTAACCACTGCTCCACCGGAGCTCCTTTTTTAAAGTTTAGTCTATAGAATCCATCAGTGATTCAATTTTTGTAAGTGGTATGACCAACTGTCCCAACACCATTCATGGAATATTTCTCCATTCCCTACCAATGTGAAATGATACTGCTATAATATGTCCAGTTCTTACATTAGTACGGTGAGTATTCAGTGCATTTGATCTATTTGTGTCAGTGCAAAACCATTACTACATTTTAATATTTATTAGAATTAGACCTTCCTAAACTCAGTTATTAGTTCTTGCAGCTTTTTGGAGTCCTGGTGATGAAGTCGTTCCAACTCACCAGCCACTCCACGGGAGAAAAATGTAGCAGTCTGCTTCCCTAAAGGTTAACCCATTGCTGTCAAGTTGATTCCAACTCATAGCGACCCTGGAGGACAGAGCAGCACTGCCCAATAAGGTTTTCAAGGCTGTAATCTTTTTTTCTATGGAGAAGCCCTGGTGACGCAGTAGTTAAGCACTCAGCTGCTAACCAAAAGTTTGGTGGTTTGAATCCACCAGCTGCTCCACAGGAGAAAGATGTGACAGTCTGCTTCCGTAAAGATTACAGCCTTGGAAATCCTATGGGGCAGTTCTCTCTGTCCTATAGACTCACTATGAATCAGATCAACTAGACAGCAGTTTTTTTTGTTTTGTTTCTTTTTCATGAAATAATGGTTCTAGCAACAATCACCACTGGCTGCTAACATCCTAAAAAGAAAGACAGTCAGACCTGAGGTGCCTTCTGATGGAAAGTACACACCACCTATGAAGTATTCTTGCCAAAAGCCTGAGGCTGAATGTGATCACACCTCTAGATCTAACCATCGCTTTATTGGATCCCTAAAAATTGAGTCCTACCATGGTCTTAGGGAACATCTAGCTCAATTGGCATACCACAATTTATAAAGACAATGTTCTACATTCTACCTTGGTGAGTAGTGTCTGGGGTCTTAAAAGCCTGTGAGCAGCCATCTAAGATACTCCACTGGTCTCATCCCTTTGGGAACAAGGGAGAATGAAGAGAACAGGATACAAGGAAAAGATTAGTCTGAAGGACTAATGGTCCACAGCTACCAAGGCCTCCACCGGCCTGAGTCCAATACAGCTAGAGCTGCCCGGCTACCACCACTGACTGCTCTGACCAGATCACAACAGAGAGTTCTGGACAGAGCTGGAGAAGGATGTAGAACATAATTCTAACTCACAAAAAAAAAGACCAGATTTACTGGCCTAAAGGAGACTGGAGAAACCCCAAGAGTATGTCCCCAGACACCCTTTTAGCTGAGTGGTGAAGTTATCTCCGAGGTTCACCATTCAGCCTGGGAGTGGACAGCCCTGTAAAACCAAATGGGACTAATGAGGTACAGCAGTCCAGTGACAAGGGCCAGAAGGCAGAAGGGGACAGGGAAGCTGGTGATAGGGAACCCAAGGTTGAGTAAGGATATTGTTGATGTGTTGTGAGATTGTTAACCATTGTCATAGGGCAACATGTGTAGTAACTGTTAAATGAGAAACTATTTTGTTCTGTAAGCCTTCATCTTAAGTGAGAATAGCAGCACAATTGGAAGAGTGTAGTCAGTGTCACTGAACTGTGCATGTAGAAATTTTTGAAATGGTGTATCCTTGGCTATGTGTATTTTCACCAAAAAAGAAAAGGTTGAGAAGTTAGAGGGTTGACATGTTGTGGGGTTGTTAACCAATGTCATAGAACAATATGTGTACTACTGTTTCATGAGAAACTATTTGTTCTGTAAGCCTTCACCTGATGTACAATAAACAAAAAAAAAAGAAAAAAAAATTAAGTCCTAAAAATCAAACTGTTAAAAAGAAAAAAATATTTAGATATGCACATACACACACGTGCACATATTAATCAGGGAAATCGGAGCAATGATTAAATATTTGTTAACATTAAGGAGTTATTATTTTTAAAATATGATATGTGGTTATGTCTTTTAACGACCAAGATTTAGGAATACATACTAAAATATTTTCAGATAAAATGACATGTTGTCTAGAATTTGGTTCAAAATAATCTGGAAGGAGTGTGTGGACGGGAGGGGGATGGGGGACAGAAAGAACTTCGATTTCATCTGTAACGTTTTGATATTCCCACTGTAAGAAAAAAATGACAAAATTTTAACAGTTAAGTCTGGATCATGGATCAGTGCATTCTTATAATTCCTCAGTTAATACTTTTTTTTAATTTAGACGGTATGGAAGGATACTGTTTTTAAAATTAATTGAATATAAGTCCAAGTCCCTTGTTAGCTGTCTCAGTGTAAGGAATGATGATACAGTCAGTTCTCACATCATTACAAGTCCTTCACTGGGGCGGCAGCTCCCTCCCTCCTCAGAGCTAGTCATCAAGGACCAGTGACAGGCCCTCGCCTGTATGGAGGCAGCATTCTTTCCTTTTACCTGGCTTGATGGTTCCAAGGCCCATCCATCCCTGCCTGCCAGGTTCTCACCTACTGTACCAAGCACCGCCAACCCTTCCAGGTCAGAAACAGAATCTTCATCGCTACACCCTTTTTACACACAGACACACACAGACACAGACACAGACACAGACACACACACACACACACACACACAGCTACCCGCAGCCTGCCTCTCATCATCCTACTTCTCTTCCACTAGGCAGCCCATGCCTAATTCCTTTTAACCATTTAACCAGCTGAAGCGGCATCTGTACACTTGATTTTACCACAGGCTTTGCAGCCAGCACAGACGTCCCAACCCACCCTCAACCTCAGTCCAAATGGACTGCAAATGTGATGTGGGGCCACACACACTATAGTCCCAACCGCCCACCTCCTCAGGACAGTCATTACCTGACAGCTGAGTCATGGCAGCCCTTCACAGTGAACCCACTAGAAAGCAGTGGTGGATGTGAGACTGAGAATTCTGAAAGGCAGGTGATTACCTTTCTGGCCAAACCTACTGCTGTGGAGTCAATTCTGATTCATAGTGACACTACAAGACAGAAGAGAACTGCCTCCATTGGGTTTCCAAGGCTGTAAATCTTTATGGAAGCAGACTGCCATACCTTTCTCCTGCACAGTGGCTGGTGGGTTCGAACCACCAACCTTATTGTTAGCAGCTGAGCACTTTAAACCCTGGGCCACCAGGGCTCCTCCTTTCTGGCCAGGAGTGAGTTAACTCTGCCAAGTGCTTTTCCAGACTGGGAGGCGGAGGCCTCAGCAGCCCTACAGACTCCTCAGCAGTCACTGATTGCCTGGAATGCGGGCAGGGGAGGGTGTGAGGGGGTGCTTAGGTGCTTAGGACCTTGATCTAAATTCCAGGGCCCCAGAAAACGAGTAATTCTATATGAAGACTGACCAGGCTTGCTTTCCCTTGCATGTGGGCTGCTGGCACTGGGAGGACTGTCACTTAAGTACTGGCTATCACCAGGGCACCTGGCCCACTACCATGCAGGGCATGGCATATGAGGGTAGGGAGCGGGAGACACCATCACTTTGCCCAACGTCCACACTGATTGAGGATATTGTGCGTGTAGGACAGGAAATAACAACTCCCATCTTGAAGGCAGGACCTCCTTCTCACCCTGGTCCTGGCCCCCTCACACAGGCCCACACCGAAGCTTCAAAAGCAACCTTTTCCATCAGATATCCCAGAGCTGAGGACACAACACCTGTAACTGCTTATTCATCTCAGGTTCCCCAGTGCCTGCCACTGCAGGGTGGAACACTGGACGGACGGACGACTGACAAACAGATAGGTGAATGAGTGGATGTTCAACCTACCAAATGCATGCACCTGGGTCCCACTGAAAGCTCAGGTCTGGGTCCTGGTCCAGTGCTCCCAGAGCCAGGTTTGCAGCCACTCTGCACCCACAGGTTGCTGAACATCATGCAAACCCTAAGCCAGGCTGCAAAGAATGTGAAACAAGCTCATAAAGTTACACAAAGTCTAAGCAGGACAGGCCCTAAAGGATCATTTGTTGTCTTCATTTTAGAGCATAAAACTGAAACGCATGAGGAATGTTTGGAACCCAGGTGTCTGGACTCCCAGTACAGTGCTCTTTCTACCAGGGGTTATCCTTTAAATAATGACTTTTTTTTTCCTGTACCCTTAATTAGGTCATTCTACCAACTTTGTGGTGACCGTCCTCTTACCCTCCAAGCGATCCAAAGACTACTGGATTGCCAAGGGATCAGCTTTGCTCTGCCAGCTGAATGAGTGAAAAGGTGCCTCCTTGGTGCTGACAAAGAACCAAGCCAGAGAGCTCTCCAGATGGGGAAAAGTCTGCACGATTTATACCTGAGCAAAACAAGTGCTACTTCTGACTTGACTTAAAGGGCAGTACGAGTGGCTTTTATTTCACATATAACCTACAATAAAGTGTTTTTTTTTTTCCTGCTGGTAGTCCAAGCTCTGATGTGAAAGCAGTAGGTCTAGCACCTCCCTCACTCCATGTGCTAGTCAGTGACCTGCTGGGGCCCTGCAAAGGGCCAGGACTCAGCAGCCCCTTACCCACCAGGCCCCTGGCTCTTCACACGAACATGAAAGGCCCTGTATGCGTATCAGTCACTCGGCCTGAATGCTTCCATTTCTAGACCAAAAAGGTTGGGCTGAGAGCCCAGTAGGTGGGAGGCTGATGCAATGACAGCAACAACTGGTAGCTTTCCAGCACAGCACCTCTGATAAGACGTATCCATCTACCCTGTCACCTTCAGCATGTTCGTGAGATGTGTTCACATATTATACGTGAAGCAAAGTACTGGTCAGAGCCCAGTATTCACCAGCTTTTGAATAGGCAGGAGCAGAACAAAGATGCCACAGCCTGCTGACTCCCCTGCATCCACAACCAGGCACTTACAGGGAGGAAGAGCAGCAGAAAAAAGAAAAGGGCCAGGATCCAAGGCCAGCACATGAAAGGATCCAAAGTCGCAGCTGAGTAGAGCGCTGGAGTGAAGCAGTGATAGTCCTCAGAGGATGTGACCAAGAGTTGTTTGCCTGATACATACACATTGTGGGGGAAAGAAGTCTACGCAGAAAAACATTTTATTATTTTCATATAACTCATTCATAGCTATGTTACAAAACTGTACACCTCCCCCCAGCATGTTGAATACCCTAAGTGATTCCTTAGGAAGAGAAGAGTCAATAATGGCATTTATCCTGAATCTCCTGGGTTGGGCCTGTCAAGGCCAGGGCAGAGTATGGAGCGCAGGACGGCCGTCCGTCAAGTCCCAGGGTCAAGGTCGTGGCCTGGCTGCCCCAGCCATTACAGGAGGGGAGTCTGTCTGCAAAGCCAGCACCAGCACCCAGAACACAGGAGTCCACAGAGACAGGCAGGCATGGCTGGCCACCATCTGGCTATGGTGGAAATGCCCCTGGCGAGGGAACCGCAGCTCAGTGGAGATATGCCTGTCCAGGATGGGCACCTGGAGATGTGGGACCACAGCACTAGGAGGCAAAGAAAAGGACAGTCTCAGGGCACAGCAGGAGCCCCTGCATACTCGTAGGCCCCCAGATGCCCAAACGGCTTCCTTTCACCTCTTCTCTTTAAAGACAGGAATGGGTGTTAGTATGTCAGTAGGCTTCCCGTGTCTTTGGCCCTCTTTACCACTGCTATCAGAAAACCAAATGATACAGGGCACTAAGACTAGCAGACTGGCCAGCTCTTCCCCTTCTATTTGGTTCTTGGCTCATTGATTATTAAAATCCTTGGTGTAAGAAGGCCCAACTCAGAGTCTGCTATCATTAACCTCTGGACAATCTCAGGCAGGGGCCATCCTCATGGGCCACACACAGAGGCACACAAGGCCATGAGGGCCCCTCCTTGGGTCTCTGCCTCTCTCCCTTCCCCCACTTCAGCGCTGGTTTGAACACCACGCAAGCATCCCAGGTCAAGACAGTACGAGCTGGGGGGCCCACGACCTCAGGTTCACCTGGTCCTTGCAGCTTAGCTCCACTCAGGTTTAAAGTGCCCAACCCTATGGCCACCTTGAAAGAAAATGGCCCAGGTTAACAAAGTTCGACGCAGGTCCATCTATTCCATCATCAATGAAAGATGGTTGAGGAGCCACCCTGGGTCAGGCACCGTGGGAGACACGGATACCAACAGGATCTGTCCATCGCCAGGTACCATCTGGCTGCCAGGTTCTGTTCATTTAAAAATGTAAACCACACAGCACATCATCAAAGCTTTCAATGGCTTCCTACTTCTTATGGCTTTCACAGTCACTCCTCCCTGTTTACCTATCTGGACCCATCTTACCCCAACCCCCTTCACTTCCTGGGCTCAAGCCAGAATTAATCTTGGCTTCTTTAATGTGACAGTTTTCCCACACTAGACTTTCACACAGTTTCCTCTGCCTATTCAGTTGTTCACTCACTCATTCATCTGAAATTTAAACAAAACCAACCCTTTGCCACTGACTTGATAGTGACTCATAGTGACTGTATGGGACAGAGAAAAATTGCCCCATAGGGTTTCCAAGGCTGTAAATCTACGGAAGACTGCCACATCTTTCTCCTGTGGAGTAGTTGCTGGGTTCAAACCACTGAAGTTTCGATTAGCAGCCAAGCGCTTCACCACTGTGCCACCAGGCTCATTTGGCTTTAGTAAGCACCTAAGCAAGCACCAGATCCCTGAATCCCCTGATCCGGACTCAGAAGCTCTAGTCATTGGGCTCCACTTTGCCAGGCTTCTACTCAGTAACAGCTAAAAGGTCACTTCCTCAGGGCGGCCTTTCTTGACCTTCCACTCTAAATAACCCCAACAGACACACACACACATTCCCACAGCATTCTATACATTCCTTGAGGATACTGACTCAAAATCTGGCTTCCTCCAGACACATCCAGACTGTGAGCTCCATGAAGGCAGGGCCACCTGCTGTCTCGTTCATGCCATAGCCAGAGCACCCCACACAAGAGCAGGCATATAGGAGAGACTCAATAAATTTGGGTTGAATTGAACTGGATCCTGGACGCTAGGCCTCACTGGTGGCGTTCTTCCAGCAGCCTGTGCCCTGCAGATCCACGCTGGGTCACCACCCTTGGCTCTTTATTCACCTCTGATCCACCCTGAAACATTTCTGAGATTCTGTGGTCACCAACCTCCCCGAAACGTGGGACTGAATAAGCCCATTCCTACGGAGTTGCTTCCAGTTCTGCAAAGCAGCAGAGAACAGGTTGGAAAGCCTCACCCTACTTTTAACAAGCCCATCTAAACTTGCTGCCCTCTCCCTGCCTAGAAGCAACCACCTGAAAGCTGGATTCATCTCTGTCAGAGTGGACAGAAACTGCCGCTGCCGTGTGAAAGGGAAAGGCTGCTCCACGAGGGGGCTCCCATCCCTACCAAAGCCTTGACCATCCCCCTGGAGCAGTGTAAGGAGCCTTCTTGAGGCTGCTTCCCACACGTACTCCCGGGGTGAGGGCAGAATGCCAAGCCTGCCCTCCTCACCTCTCCTCCAGGCGGACCCACAGCTCACTGAACTCCCGGAGCTGTTGCCTTCGCAGCAGCCTCCTCCACTTCTTCCGGAACTTCCGCTCCGCCTAGATGGGCAGGTCGGCACTTCCGGATGAGGACGCGTGTGGCGGCAACAGTAAGGGCGCCTCAGAGCCAGCTTCCGGTACTGGCGGTGTCGGGGCGGGGACTTCCGGAGCAAAGATGGCCGAGAGGGCCGGATTCGGGGAGGGTGCTTTACTCTTCTCTCGGTAAACCGGCAGGGGAGGAGGAGGTACTTGGTGGAGAGTGACAGAGCATGGCGTCCTCCCCCAGTCAAGCACCGTGGGAGACACGGATACCAGCAGGATCTGTCCATCTCCAGGCACCTTCTGGCTGCCAGGTTAAAGTTCAGGACTTCTCAAAAGACAGATAACGGGAAAGTTCAGGACGAGACCAGAAAAAACAGGAATTATCTGGTTTTTGAAGGCTCCTCGAGAATTGATGACTTTGACACCTTTATTTCTCCCCTTCTATAACCCCACCATAAACCCCCAAAACCCATTGCCCTCCAGTTGATTCCAACTCATAGCGACCCTACAGGACAGAGTAGAACTGCCCCATAGGGTTTCCAAGGCTGTAATCTTTATGGAAGCAGACTGCCACATCTTTCTTCCGTTGAGTGGCTGGTGGGTTCAAACCGCAGATCTTTTGGTTAGCAGCCCAGCTCTTAAACACTGCACCACCATCCCCACCATACTCTCCCCTAATCCCCCAGCCCTGAGGAGGAAATATGAGGGTTTTTTTTTTTTTTAAATTGCATATGATTACTGCCCTTCCCTAACAACAGGTCACCACTGTCAGTAGAACGTCACTGAAGGTTATGGTATTTAAAGAGGGGTGAAAAATGTTTAAATGCCATTTACTTACAACAGTTATGTTGTTGCGTGCTCTTGAGTTGATGCCAACTCACAGCGGCCCTATAAGACAGAGTAGAACTGCCCCATAGGGTTTCCTATGCTATAATCTTTATGGGAGCAGATTGCCAGGAACTTTCTCCTGCTAAGCCGTTGGTGGATTCGAACTGCCAGCCTTTCTGTTAGCAGCCAAATGCTTAACCATTGAGCCACTAGGGCCTCTTGGAACAGTTAAGTGGCCCTTAACCCTGTTAATCCTTCCTGCATCATTATGAGGGCTCTACTAGGAAAGAGCCTCTAGCTGTTGTCCCAAGTGAAGGGCTGTCAGTGTTCACAGGGTTGGCTTCTTGCCATCTCACCCCACATCTGGCTATAAACCAACTTTCCCAGAGGAAAGGTATGTTTTTCACAGCTGGTGGAAAATACCAACTTTTTACAATACAAATTCCCTCAGGGTGACTCTGGCCCTAAACACCTACTCCAGTGAAGAAATAAGCCATTAGAAAGACCAAGTTTCTTCCTGCAGCAGGTCTTTTGTCAAGGGCCTTCCATGTGAGTGGGGGGAAGAATTCCAGCAACCAGAGGTCAATCCCATTGTCTCCTGATAAAGGCAGCAAGAGGCCCAGAGCACCCATCTGCCTGAGGAAGGGGAGCAGTGGATGTGCCATGCACCCAGCTTCCCTCCTCCAATGATGTGGGTGCAGCAGACCAGCGCATGTAAGACCTCAATTACTCCGTTTTGATTCAGCCTTTAAAAACCACCCACCTGCAGAAACTAAGCATGTTCTGACCACAGCCTAACAGAACCTGAGAGGTCAGTTAGCATTCATGGCCCTATGTGAGGAAGGAGGAGATATAAAAGAAGAAAAATGAAAAAGAGAAAGACTCACGTTGGGTAAAAAGGATAAAAGAAGGGAATTTCTCAAATATCAAAGGAATAAAACAAGCCCCTCCTCTGAACCCTATACCATGGACTGCCAGAAGAACAAGCAAGGATCACAAGACTTCATCTCACATACTTTGGACATGTTATCAGGAGAGACAAGTCCCTGGAGAAGGATATCATGCTTGGTAAAGCAGAGGGTTGACATAAGAGAGGAAGACCCTTGATAAAATGGATTGACACAGTGGCTGCAACAGTGGGCTCAAACATAACAACGACTGTGCGGATGGCACAGAACTGGGCAGTGTTTCATTCTGTTGTGCATAGGGTCACTATGAGTGGGAACTGACTCAACAGCACTGTCATGGATTGAATTGTGTCCCCCCGCAAATATCTGTTAACTTGGCTAGGTCATGATTCCCAGTATTGTATGATTGTCTACCACTCTGTCATATGATGTGATTTCCCTGTGTGTTGTAAATCCTATCACTATGATGTTAATGAGATGGCTTAGTAGCAGTTATATTGATGAGATCTACAAGATTTGATAGTGTCTTAAGCCAATCTCTTTTGAGATATAAAAGAGAGAAGCAAGCAGAGAGACATGGGGACCTCATACCACCAAGAAAGCAACACTGAGAGCAGAGTACTTCCTTTGGACCTGAGGTTCCCGTGTTGAGATGCTCCCATAACAAGACTGATGATAAGGACCTTCCTCCAGAACCAACAGAGACAGAAAGCCTTCCCCGGGTGCCAGTGCCCTGAATTCGGACGTCTAGCTTACTGGACTGTTAAAGCCATCCACTGTGGTATTTCTGTTACAGCAGCACTAGATGACTGAGACAGCAAGGAATGTGGGCAGCCTCTAAAAGCCAGAAAAGGCAAGGAAACAGATTCTCCCCTAGAAACTCCAAAAGGGAACACAGCCCTGCTGACAACTTGATTTTAGCTCAGTGAGACCCATGTCAGACTTCTGATCTACAGAATTGTAAGATAATAAATCTTTGTTGTTTTAAGCCATTAAGTTTGTGGCAATTGTTAGGGTAGCAATAGAAAACTAATACAGTATCCATTATCCCTGGAGTCGGGGGAGGGACTGGCTAAACCCTCTGCAGATCAGCCCAGTAGGAAACCCCTCCTTCCTCTTCTCTGTCCAGGGAAAGGCAGCTTCACAGCTGGGAGCAACGTCCTGTGTTTTCCAGCCTGCTGACAGCTAAAGAGTAGTGGCTGCCAACCTCCTTCCTGCCCCTCCCTGTCCTAAGATGGGCCCACCCCAAGACTCAGGGTTACACCTGGGGCTGGGCCTGGGCATGGAGTAAGCTCAGTCACCATTTACAGTCCACCTGTCCCAGGTTCACACCAGCCTGCCCCAGGTTCAAGTTCAATACAGTTAGAATCATCCCTCAATGCTTCCAGGGCTGCCATGGAGGGAGGAAGGAAGCAGATATCTCCACAGCTGCCTTGGTCCTCCTCATCAACCTTCCCACTATGAGCATCTCCCCTGACCTGGGCCCTTTGCCCCTCACCCTCCCCCTGAACGGAAGCTCCTCTGGAGACCTCATCCTCCCTCGTGGCTTCAACTAGAAAGAATGTGGGCTAGTTCACCGCTAAAAACTTCTAGACAGACCTCCACCCACTGGCTGAATAAATGAATGCACAGGGGCAGTCATGCAATGATACTATTTACACATCAACCAAGCCCAGTGGAACATCTACTGTGTGCCAGGCGCCAGGATAGGTACTGCTGGGCATCCAACCCTGAATAGGACATAGCCCCTAGCCTGAAGGCTCTTGTGAGAGCATGCGAGGCCACTGCAGAAGCACAGATCAAACTCCTTGGGATCACAAAAGAGGGTGAACCCAGGCTGGAGCAATCCAGGAGGATGTGGCATTTGTGTCAGATCTCACAGCTTCTGATAGAAAGAATCAGGTGGGAGTAGTGAATGTCCGAACCCCTATAGGAAACTGCATGAACAAAGATGAAGAGGCTGAAAAGTAAAGGGTCAGAGAAGAAAGGGTAGAAAGAGAAAGGTTCTGGAGTGGGAGGAGTCTGACCTTGGGTTATGGGTTGATTTGTGTTTCCCAAAAAGACATATTCAAATCCTAAACCTGGGAATGCTACCTTATTTGGAAATAGCGTCTTTGCAGATGTAATTAGTTCCATTCACATGAGGTCATACTGGAGTAGGGTGGGCCCTAATCCAGTGTGACTCGTGTCCTTATAAGAAGAGGACAAGAGACACAGGGAGACAGCATGTGAACTTGGAGGAGAGACTGGAGTGCATCTCAACCCAAGAACACCAAGGATCGCCAGCCGTCACCAGAAGCTAGGAGGGAGGCATAGAACAGATTCTCCTTCAGAGCCCTCAGAAGGAATCAACATTGTTGACTTTGATTTCGGACTTCTAGCCTCTAAACTGTGAGAGAATAACTTTCTGTTCCGTTAAGCCACCCACTTTGTGGTAATTTATTACAACAGTCCTAGGAAACCAATGTAGTTTAGATCCTCACTCTGATTAGCTGTGTGACCCTGGTTAGCCGTGTGACCCTGGTTAGCCGTGTGACCCTGGTTAGCCGTGTGACCTGGTTAGTCGTGTGACTCTGGTTAGCCGTGTGATTCTGGTTAGCCGTGTGACC